GCTGGTGAATTCCAAAGGAAAGCAAAGCAATACGTTTGGCACCAGCTTGGCTGCAGGAGTTGCCGGCTGGGGCGCAGAGCACTGGCCAGCCGCCTTAGGGGCTCCACTCCGGATTTTCTGTCTGGGTTTACTCCCATAGCCTTTTCTCCTCCCGGAAGATACCCACAAGGCAGCGGGGATGGTAACCATGGCAGGGACATGGTTGCTGAATGCCTGAGTCACGTCCGTGGAACCCATGTCCGTGAAACCCAGGGTCGTCGCGCATCGAGACTGTCCAGCACACCTGGCGCTGTGGTTTGAAATCAGAGTTTTCCTTCTCCTAGACGAACTGCCTACCAAGGCTAACGAGCTCCGTCTATTGTAACTATTGTAACCTCATTCATAAATTACCAAGTGATTTGACCCACTTGTTATTTTCTGTGTTGTTCTTTATTTGAACTGTTGCCTGCTATTGTGTCACAGAGACACAGAAGTCAGCCGAAATGGATCACAAAAGTATATTGATGCTTTTTTTGGACAATGTCATAAGAATTATGATAATGGTTAATAATAATAATAATAATAATAATAATAAAGTAAATGCTGCAGTATAATAAAGTTAATGCTGCAGTATACAATTATAATGTAGCCTTTAAATTTATTATATTTAGTTGAGTTTTAGTTTAGTTATGAGATAGTCGTAAAATGTACTGCAACTTAGTTAACTCGCCTGTAAGATTGAAATATGTATGAAATGGTTAAAACAGTTTGGTTGCCAATTTTGTAGACCAAAACCCGTCTATAAAAAGAATATATCTTTGAGTAATTTCACATTTGACGTACAATTTGAATTCTGTATTACTATTCAGCTGCTGTTCAACGTGACACAAGCTTGTTGAGTATTACATGCTACTTTTGGGGGAAACTGGCAAATTGAAGACGTAGATTTTTACATTACCACTATACTAATTATGCTTTTTTATACTTACATCATAGTTACGTAATAAAATATGAAGTAAAGCACAGACTTCAATAACAGCACTACACACACCTCTGACTCTAGTGCTTAAGAACAGGGCACTTTGTTTTCTCACCTGAAAAGCAGTAAACTCAGACCCAGAAGATTTTATTGCACAAGTTTTGAATAAGCTGTAGACAGCTGCGAGCGTCTGTGTTTAAGGCCCTTCAGCTGGGCTGTGCCGAGTCTTTTTGTTGGGCAGGTGCTCACAGGTTAAAAAGGGGCACTCTGTATATTTAAAGCTATGAAATTGATTAATTGACACACTACAACAACAATATATATTCTCTGAATTTAACCCGTATTTGACATATCAGTGGGCCCCGGGGGCAGTACAGTATTTTGCTCAAGTTACTTTGCTGGTTGGGGGCAGTTAGGGATTCAAACCAGCAACATTCCAATCACAGGGACACTTCACTAACTTCAAACTAATGCTTAAGCTTCCCGCCTCCCCAGCCCCTTCTTCCGCACATACCCACCCTTTAGTGCTGAATGTTTAAGTTGAATAAGTTGCTTATATATTGGATGCCAGAAAGACAGGTCCATGTCCTATTTTAGCCTAAAAGACACTTGAAAAGTTTAATACGTATGCAATGACTCATATTTTTTTAAATATTTCTTAGCGATATCACTTCCATGTGAATCTCATTGTGGCGTTGGAATGACATTCATCTGAGCAGAAAGGTCAGAGAACGAGAAGATTATTTCTAACAGTGGACCTGGTGCCTCAATGCAGAAATCAATGATCAAATTGCATGCATGTTGAAATTTGTTTTAAATGAATCACCTCCAGTGAAGCTAACTGGTGTGTCTAAATTGCCCATTTAGAGATACTCTTTTACCCTAAATTGCACATTTACATATTCAATGATTATGTGGGTGTTAGTATGTATGCTTTAGTACCCTGTTATAGGCTGGTGTCCTGTCCAAGGTGTTCCCCTACCTTGTGCCCTATACGGCCTGGCATAGGTGGACTTAGCAACTTAGTCTAGGATAAGCATTTGGATGATGGATGGATGGATGGATGGACCTTGTATTATTAGCACTTTATTAGCACCAGTCATATAAAAACCCTCTACTTCACATTAAAATTCATGCACTGTATGTATGTGCCGAGAAATATTTAACTCCATGCCAATGGAAAATGGCTAAATTCCGAGGCCAGAGTGTGCATAATCTCCTCAAATAAGAATCTAGATCCAAATCTCAGATAAGCTCACGTTAGAAGAGTTTATCTGAGATTATCAATTTTCATATCAGAGTTTATTTGAAACCCAACTATACCCAACTATAAATAAGCATTGTCTGATTTTGAGAGGGTAAAGAAATGAATGCAGTTCTGCCTCATTACAAATGTGTGTTCTGGGTTATAAGTACATGAAAACAGATTTTAAAAATAATGTACTTAGAATATACACACACACACATATATATATATATGTGTGTGTGTATATATACACTCACCTAAAGGATTATTAGGAACACCATACTAATACGGTGTTTGACCCCCTTTCGCCTTCAGAACTGCCTTAATTCTACGTGGCATTGATTCAACAAGGTGCTGAAAGCATTCTTTAGAAATGTTGGCCCATATTGATAGGATAGCATCTTGCAGTTGATGGAGATTTGTTGGATGCACATCCAGGGCACGAAGCTCCCGTTCCACCACATCCCAAAGATGCTCTATTGGGTTGAGATCTGGTGACTGTGGGGGCCATTTTGGAAGTAGCCATCAGAGGATGGGTACATGGTGGTCATAAAGGGATGGACATGGTCAGAAACAATGCTCAGGTAGG